AAAATGCCTTCATATTTATACTGTATACGATTCCTTCATTGATACTTTTTAACATTTAAAAAATTGATTTGGTTTGTAAACAAAAGATTGTAAAATAATGAGGATAACTAAGTCTCAGAAGCTGTCTTTTTTAATTCCAGTTTTTAGCAAAATAATAGTATTTAAGTTAATTATCTAACATTCATATTATCTGTGGTCCCAAAATTATTGTTTAAGAGAATTTTAGGTTTAAAATTTATTATATATATATATATATATATATATATATAGTGTTAATGTTTGTCATAAAAAATCTCATGATTCTATGTATGGGGGGGGAGACACACACTTTTTGGCAAGTATCTCCATTATTTGCCCACTAGGTGGCAGCATTAGACTCTATAATGAAAAGACCGTTTCATCCAGGCCTTTTTGCTCATTTTTTGTTTTTGTTTCCTCTTCCCTCATCACATCATTTTGACATTCTATGCTTGATTCCCTGCAACAGGCAGTCAGCTTCCTGGCAGGAAAGACCCCTGTAACCAAGCGCGACGTAAAACTTCAACATGCAAGTGGATGGTACTCTTCAAATGACAGCTATACCACATGACAAGGGTCACAATTTCTATATTCATATCAAGTAGCTGAACATTTCTTATATTATTCTTTACATAAAACTAATCACTATGTCACACTGAAAGATGCTTAAGAGAAATTCTGGTCTATTTTACTAAAAAAAGGGAAGGGGATTTTTTTTTTTTTTTTTTTTTATGTAGAAGAACTGGGGTGTAGACTAGAGGTGCAGGGGGTGAAAGGATTCACCAGAGATGGAGTAGGGAGCAGAAGAAGCGGATCTACTGAAATACATTGCTGAGAGGAGCAGTGGGCAAGACAGGGGAAGTCTGCTGTGCCATGTGGGTCACCTCCCTGGGAGGGGATTGAAGTCCTGCTGCAGTGGCTGCCAATAGCTTTATAGTGCTGGTGCTTAACCCCTTGAGTCACCAGGGAGCCCCAGATGTCTTATTTTTGACGGATTATAATTTACTAGTAGATTTAGGTGTGTAATGAACCATAAAATGACTCAAAGGCTTCTCCCTTAAGATGGCTTTTCCTAACCCTCTGACTCAGATGAACTTTTTCTCTAGCTAACAACCTAACTTCAAACTCTGTACACTGAAATGAGACAAGGTTATACAGCTAATCATAAAGCTATTATCACTGCTAGAGTGCATATAGCAAATTTTTAAGTAACATGTGGTTTATCTCACTTGGCATGTTTTTAAGGTTCATCCATGTTGTGACAAGGATCAGCATTCCAGTCCCTTAGCAGCTAAAGAGTATTCCACTGTCTGGATATACCACGTTTTAAAAAATTCATTAAGTAATTTGATTAATGAATCATTTCTCTTTTGACTTACGAATATTGTTAAGAAAAATCATGTACAAGTTTGTGTATGGACAATTATTTTCAATATGTTGGGTATGTATGTAGTTCTACTCCTACATCAGATGGCAACTGTGTTCAACATTTTGAGGAGCTGTCAAGCTATTTTCCATAGCAATTGCACCTTTTTATACTCTCCCCAACAATGTATCAGGCAGCACTTTCTCCAGAGCCTTGGTAATACTTGCCATAATTCTGTCTTTTTTTAAAAAACATTTATTTATTCATGCATACAAGAACTGGGGTACAGGCCAGATGTGTGGGAGGGTGAGAGAATTCACCAGAGACAGAGCAGGGAACAGAACAGGCAGACGGACCGAAAACATAGTAGGGAGGCCCCTACGTGTTATTTTAAATGGCCTGTGTTCAACAACAAAAAAATTGGACATGCAAAGAAATAAGAAATTGTGTCCATAAATGGGAGGGAAAGCAACTAATAGAAACTAGCCATAAGGTAGCTCTAATATTGGATTTGCTCTAGACAGAGATTTAAATATGTAAAAAATAAAAGGAAACCACAAAAGAACTAGAAGTATGAGAACAATGTTTCATCAATCAAAAAACATCAGTAACAAAACATATTATAAAAAAGGACCAAATGGTAATTATGGATTTGAAAACTACAATAACGAAATGGAAAGTTGACTTGAGATTTACAGGTAGAAGAAAACCAGTGTAGATGAGAGCTCTGTTGAGATTTTATAGTCTGACAAAAAGAATAAACAATGAAAAGACGGAACTATGGGGCCTCCCTGTGGCACAGGCGGTTGAGCTCTGGGAAGCAATCCGCAGCCTCTGCAGCACGAGTTCGATCCCCAGCCGGCCAGGGAGCAACCCACATGGTGCAGCAGACCTCTCCTGTCTCCCCGCTGCTCCCCTCAGCAGTATACTTCGGTCAATCTGCCTGTTCTGTTCCCCACTCTGTCTCTGGTGAATCCTCTCATCCCCCGCATCTCTGACCTGTACCCCAGCTCTTGTATGCATAAATAAATCTTTAAAAAAATAAAATAAAATAACATAGTATTACAACTCTGGAAATCAGATTACAGTTGCTTTCAGAATTTTTTATTGCTGTTTTATTTTTTAGTGGCTTCTGAATAAGTTATATTTAGCCTGTATTCTTTGCTGTGTATGGTCACTGAGCGCTGCTCCATTAGCTTAGCGGTCAGCTAATGACTGCAAAGAGAATCTGTGAAACACACAAAACTGATTAGTCTCTCAGACTTTGCTGAGAGCCTATGTATATATGAGAGCCTATGTATAAGGGCCATGCCTTCAACACCCAGCCAGTCAATTGAAACTGCTTTTGCCTTTACGTGTGAGAATTGAAGGCCTTCTGGAGTCTTTTCCAAGTGTGTGCACAGTCCCATACATGCACACAACCTTGGAAGAGTCCCAGGAATGTGTTAGAGTATTTCAAAGCCCCCATGGGCCTCAAATTCCCCAGCTTTTCCTTTAAAGCTTTTTGGCTAGCCTGTTCTTTGCCTTAAAGGTTATCTATTACCTCAGGCCATCAAAAAGTTAAATAATTTCTTTTAAATATTTTTTTTTAAGATTTATTTATTTATTTATTTATTCATTCATTCATTCAAGCACTGGGTACAGTCAGAAGCGCGGAGGGTGAGAGAGTTCACCAGAGCCAGAACGGGAAGCAGAGCAGGCAGAAGGACCGAAGTACACTGCTGAGGGGAGCATCAGGCGGCAGGAAAGGTCTGCGCGCCATGTGGGACCCTCCTCCGGTGGCCGGGGAGCAGCTGGGGATCGAACCGGCACTGCAGAGGCCGCACGCAGCTTCGCAGCCCAGTGCTCAACCGCTGCGCCACCGGGGAGGCCCTCTTTTAAATTATTTTCAATACACTCTTCTGGAGAAAAGCTTTTCACACTGGGTTCTGAGTAAGGTCAAATAAAAATAGCCTAGCAAGCCAGAGTCTTTCAAGGAATCAAAAGAGAGGTCAAATAAGGATGGTAATCTGGGAATGAGACTTTATGGGAGCTATAACACTTTCCTGTCTCTCTGGTGGCTTGCCAGCTTCCTGATGATGGGGTATTGGAAACAGGAACGGAACAGTAACAGAGTTGGTTAGAAGACCTATAGCTAGTTGTTGTTACAGCCATTTTTTCGTGAATAAACAGTCCACAGATTACTGCCAAGACTGGATAAATTTCAGAGTTTCCAAATACAGTCTATGAATCCAACATTAACTTGATCCTATAACCAGACAAGAACAGGACAAAAAATGAAAGTGTAGACCAATATCCCCAACGAACACAGATGCAAAAAATTTCAACAAAATACTAGCAAATCGAATTCAACAGTAAATTAAAAGAATTATACACCTAAAAGTGATACAAAGATGGTTCAACATATATAAATCAATAAATGTCACATTCTACATCACATCAACCAAAGGGACAAAAATCACTCTCTATACACAGAAAAAGCTTTGACAAGAATCAAATTTCATTTATAATAAAAACTGTCAACAAAACTGGTATAGAAGGAACATACCTCAACACAATAAAGGCCATATGTGACAAACCCTTACAGTTAACTTCAGACACAACAGAGAAAAACTGAAAGCATTTCCTCTAAGGTCAGGAACAAGATAAGGATGTTCATTCCTACTGCTACTATTCACTATAGTGTTGGAAATCCAGGGAGAGTAATTAGACAAGAAATAGATATGAAGTATGTCAGTTGGAAAGAAAGAAGTGAAACTATCACTATTTGTAGATGACACAACATAGATGATATAACATAGAAAATCCCAAGGACACCAGAAAATACTTATTACAATAAACAAATACAGTAAAATGGCAAGCTATGAAACTGGTACCCAAAAATCCACTGCATTCATACACATCAATAACAAACTATTGTAATAAAAAGAGAAATCAGGAAAATACCATTTATAACTTCCTTGGAATAAATTTAACAAATCATATAACATGACATAATATCAGAACTAAGAACCAAAGGAGAAAAGGCCAAAGCAAAATCAACAAAGTTAAGGACACAGTACCATCTTTTGAATGTAATACTTTCTGTATGTTATTGATTGACTGATGGTTTTATAAGTTAGCACACTAGTGCCTGCAATTATGATTAGGGTTCTCTATCAGTGAGCAGTGGTGAAGAATAAAGATATTTCCTTAGTTTTCTTAGATCTATACTGGTATAAATCAGAGGTCAACAGAGTTTTTTGGTAAAGAATCAGATGGTAAATACTTACTCTTTGGGTCCATATATATAATTCTGTTTTTAACTACTCAACTCTACACCATAATAATATGTAAATGAGTGGATGTGGCTATATTCTATTAAAACTATTTATAAAGGAAGTGGTGGGCTGGATTTGGTCTGTAGTTTGCCAACCACTAATCAATAAGAAGTATATACTCAGTGCAAAATGACAATCTCTTGAACATGTTCTAAAATTCCAAATGGTGAGCAAAAAACATTGTGTAGACCAGTGAAATTTAACATACCATATTACAGGACTCACAATATCATACTCAGTGAACATGATATAGAACTAATTTTTCAACATCTCATAAAACCCCAAGAATCGCTTACCTGTGTATAATCACCAAAAGGTTGAGAATAAGCAATGCACTTTTCCAATGTATGTTGTGATTCATTTCCCTGAGAGATTGCATCCAGAAGGTTGCTTGCAATTCCAGTCTTCTGTAGAGTGGTTTTATTTGTAGAGGCTAAAGGCGAAATTGATATATGTATTTTAGTTAGGTTGTTTTATTATAAGTACCAAACTCACTAATTCAGCATAGTCTCAAATAGAATGTAAATTTTAATTTGCTGCTATATATGCCTACATTTATTACCTCCAGAAGAAAAATGTGGGTATTACCTCATTCATTTAAAACTAAAAGTGGTAGCTTGCCCTATGAGTAAATAATTTGGATGGAAATATTTTTAAAAATGTGTTGAATCTCTAAAACAAGGGAAGCAAAATGTAACTAATTCTAGTTAATGCAATATTTGTAACCATCTAATTCTAGACCAGATAAAAATATAAAAGGACATCATTAGAAGCATATCAATGTTTTTTTCTGGTATTTTAAAAAAATTACAAATTAATGTTTCGGTTCAAGAGGATAATTCATAAAAAGTAGAGAATGTACATTAAAAACAATTCAGCCTTCATCTTTTTTCATTCAATTCTATTCTTTCACAGAGGTTACAGTTTAGAATTTACTTTTCTAGATTTACTTTATCCATTTACACATTTGATTATGTGCCTCTAAGAATATATACCATTAGACAAATACAGAATCATTTTATTGGCTTTTCCACTAAATGTTTTAGATACCATTTCATATTAGTACATGTAGCTATCACTCAATTATAAAAAGCTGCACAGTATTCTATTTTCTGATGGAGTATGTATTTCCCTAATGATGAACAGTGAGACACTTTCCTGTTTTTCACTATTGACAATCAACATTGTAGTAACTATCCCAGCAAACCATATCTGTGATTTTCTCTTAAAACTAATTTGATTTAGTAGTTAATTTACACTAATTGAAGGCAAGGAGGTCCTCCAAAAATGTAAATGAGAATTCCACTTTTGCTAATTTTAGGTTATTCTGAAAATACCATGAGAATATTAGAACTTTACACTTCTGTTTCAGACATGTTTATATATTGTAAAGAATTATAGTATTGCCAAATAATTTCTTTGCACCAACTATTTTCAACCATGATTCAATAATAATTCAATAACTGACTATATTCTTTACAAAGTATTATATGTGACATTCTCCTTCTTAAATAAAATACACTTAAAATGTCAATTTTAGTTACTCTTTCAATTTAAAGATGGGATTACAATTTATTGTAATGGGTCAATATGCATTATTTGCTTCTATTACCTTAAACATTCAAGTAAAACTCATTACAGAAAGTAAAACTCCAAAAGACTGATATTGAAGTCTCACTTACATGATAAGCAGACACTGGGTAAAACACTTGCCAAGTTCAAGTATGGGTTTTTACTAAGCCGAATTTCTTTTGGTGGTTCTCCCAAGAGTGAAGTCTGATTCTTTATGGTAGCCTATTCATCAAAAACAGAAGAGCAGGTGCTTAATAAGAAGTGTACACACATGAGTATAGAAATATTCTTCTTTAGTAATCTAGAGTGATAAAAATTTGTGGAACCTAATATACGAAGACAGAAACTGAAATATTTTGGGATAATGATCAAAATTATATCTCACCTATTATTTTGAGAAAAAAAATCACAGCGGATTCTATAGTGTATTTCATGTTATCTTGGAAGAATTTTTTACTTTTTACTGTTTTATGGTAAAGACAGATGTTAAATAAGACAGAATTCAGGTTACCATAATTAAAGTTAAACACAGTAGTTTTTATTTTAAATTAATTTTTGTTTCCTGAGCAGAATGATGGGATTAAAAGCTCAAGTGATTATTTCTGTATTACTTACAGAATTCCTTACATTTATTCCTTATCTAGCCAATATTACTATAATTGGATAGAGGAATCGGTCTTCTACATCTTCATAAATCCCAAAGATGTCCAGGTTTGCTTGTGGTATGTAAACTGCATGGGTAAATGTAATGTTCATTCATTCATGTGGTTACTGAATACACACTGTGCAAAACTAAAATGACCAAGACAGGGATAATGCCCTTAAGAAATTCATTGTCTAATAATAAAATAGCTCCAGAGAAGTTAAAGATGATTAGGTAGCAGCCAAAACCATTAGATACATGACAAAGCAAAGCATATAGCAGATGAAGGGACAATATCTTCAAAAAAATCCAGCGATTGAGTACAGAGGAAGGAGGCAGCAAAGAAGTCTCATGTTTTACTACTAAATTGCTTAGATTGGGCCTCCCTGGTGGCGCCATGGGTTAAGACGCAACCTATGAAGCGATCCGCAGGCACTAAGGCACAAGTTCGATCTTTGGTTAGGAAGGAGACCCACATGGCGCAGCAGACCTCTCCTGTCTTGCTCTCTGCTCTCCTCAGCAGTGTATTTCAGTCAATCTGCCTGTTCTATTCCCCACTTTGTCTTTGGTGAATCCTCTCACCCCCCACACCTCTGGCCTATACCCCAGGTCTTGTATGCATAAATATCAAAAAAATAGTAATAAATAAATTGCTTAGATTGTTAAAAAAAATCAGATTATATCCATACCAGGGTTCTCAATTCTAGCTAGGCATGAAAAGCAGTCATAAGATTAAAAATTATTTAAATACAGAATCTTACCAACAAAGGAAAACACAGGGCCAAATGCCTTCACTGGAGAATTCTACCAAACATTTAAATAGGAATTAACATAGAATCCTTCTCAAACTCCTCCAAAAATATTGAAGAGGGAATACTTTCAAACTTTTTAGGCCAGTACTGCCCTAGTTACCAAACACAAACAGTAAAAGAAAACTACAGGCAGATATCCTATATGAACACTGATACAAACATTATCAACAAAACAGTAGTCAACCAAATTCAGTAGATGAATGAAGTATTATACACCATAATCAATTGGGATTTATCCCTAGAATGCAAAGACAGTTTAACATAAACTACATTAGAATAAAAGCAAAATACCATACATGACATTATTATTCAGTCTTTAAAAAAATTATATGCTACAACATGGATGAACCTTGAAGCCATTATGCTCAGTGAAATAAGCCAGAAACAAAAGACAAATGCTGTATCATTCTGATTATCTGAGGTACCCAGAATGGTCAGAATTCAGATGCAGAAGGTAGAATAATGGGGTGCAGGAGAAGGGAAAATGAAGAATTCTTGAAAGGGTTGAACTATGGAATGTTGAAAAAGTTCTGGAAATGGGTAGCACTAGATGTTTGCAAAACAGTGTGAAGCCTACACGTATAATACAGATCTCACCTTTATCTCCCTAAACCAAACTCCAGGGGTAGCAGAGTTAGGGTGTAGCCCTCTCCACTAAAACAAAACAAACAAACAAAAAAACTCCAGAGATGACTGAAAAAATGCAGAATCAAGAATCACTAGTCAACATACTATTAAGGCTGCAGGTCTAAAAACTAAAGCTGAGTTAAACTTATTAATAAAAGTCAAAAATTCTGCTATATACTTAGAAAATGTTGAGGCTACTAGCCCAACCTGATAACAGAAAGTGAAATCACTTCTACAAAAATCTGTCCATATGTTCACCTGGGGTCTGTCTGCTTAACTGCCTTTAAGTAATATGACATTCATACTTTTGTGAAATTAAACTTTATCTGTGTGAAATCTCAGATTTTTCTGTGTTATACAGCCCCCAAGTCTGCTTTACTGTATGTCATTCTTATGGAGTTAGGAGAAATGCAAAATACCATGTGACTAGACTTTTTAAATGTATATCCAGCTGATCACCACTTCCCAAGCTCCATACTTTCATTTTTCTCGACACTTGTTCGCAAGACTTGTTCTCCAGACCCTGCTCCACTTTGGCGGTTCTCTTTCAGACAGACTTTCATTTGTCCATTATGTGAATCACCTCAAATCAGTTTTTCTAGAGATCCTGGGACTTTCAATGAATTTAAAAGTCTACGAAATAGCAGACTAACCATTTGTGAGCTTTTTGTTTAATTTTAACATTTGTGTAATGCCAACTACATGAATGTTTCCCTTACATACTACTTAAACAGCCTGAGTTTCAAACCACTTACAAACCAAAGGGTAGAGTTCAAATAAAATAAAAATGAAATGTACTTATTCTACCTACTAACTGTAACATTTGTAAATATCAATGTTTTATTATCCAATAAAGTAACCTGGTAAAAATTTCCATAGTTAAAACAGATTATTTTGAATGGACCAGAGTTAAAATAAAAACTGACGTTGACATTTTTCAGGTAAAACTGGTTTTGTCTTTAAATATTAAAATGTCTCCTTAATTATCTACAGAATATACACTTAAAATAGAAAAATAAACATATTTTAAAGAACAGCAAAAACTTTATATATAATAATATATAATTGGGTATTAGTAATAGTTCTAAACTTGCAAAGCACAAAATTTTGAACTTTAAAGTACTTTGTAATTTATTTTTAAAATATCAAGTATCTTTGAAAACCATGCATCTCTCAAATTTTAGGAATGCAAATTATAAGAATAAAAAATTCATATTTAAATTATTTTACAGTAAGAGACTTTAAAAACATATATTACATAAATTAAAATTATCTTATTTACAGATAAACTGGGAAGTAATCACATATCGTCCCAAATATCAACTGGTATTAACCTATTGAAAGATGGGTTTTGTTTATAGTAACAGAATTTTTGTAAAAAGTACAATATTTTCTATTTTGTAAAATGTATACTTTGAAAAAGTCATGTCATTGACATTATAGCAATTATCCAGTTTGTACTCCATTTATATATTTTAATATTAACTTCCTTTAAATCTAAAAACAGTTATACTTCATCATTTATGCACCTGTAAAATAACAAAAAAAATTGGAATACTATAGAATTAGAATAATTTCATTTAGGATATAATTTAAAGGGAAAATAAGTATGTTTTCTTGGACAGTGACTATACACATGTAGCATACACTAGCAGTGTGAGTACATACGTACGTAACTCTACCATACTGCACAGAGATAGAGTTTTCTTACCCCTGAACTTATCTCTGTGGCTTTTGGCTGACTTTGCTGTTGCTTAAGGTGTCCTGTCAACAAGCCTCCAGCAGTAAGGTTTGGAAAATTCTGAAGATAAGCCTGTGACCCTGAGAAGCTTCCTTCTGCCATTCCCACGGAGGCTGGCTGTTTCTCCTGAGTAGTACCTGGCCCAGCTTGTCCAGCAATGTGCTGATTTGGAAAGAATGGCAACATGCCCACGCCAGCTGTTATAGCTGTTTGAGGTGGCATCAGATTAGATGCTGCAGGGAACCACAAATGCAAAAAAGTTTTGGTTAGATAAAGCTTATTCACAAGAGGACTTCTAATTTTAAGTTATGGGCAAAATGCAGAGAAATCTACTTTAGAGAAATCTACATTAGATAGAAAACAATTCAATTTTAGCGGTTGCAAATGAGCAGCTTCCTGTATGAAAAATCAACCTAAAGTAGCGTTAATTTTATTGTAAGAAAGAAACTTTTCTTATTTTCAACAACCTTCAGGATAACCTCAAGGATATTTTCTAATTCCTAATTTTAATGTTATTGAAGCTGAGAGTAAAATTTTTGACGTTTAAATACATCAGTGCCTTTGTTAAGCCCAATCATCATAATTTCCCTGTTTTCATATTTTAAGGGAGTAATTAAACATTTTCATTAAAAAAAAATCTGACACTTAACAATTAATAAAGTTAGAGTGAACTCAACTATAAATTTGGTCTGTCAGCTTGACCAGCTCCTAAGAGTCAACTGTACTTATCCATTCCCAGTGCCTGAATTCAGTGTCTTCTCATGGACAGAAAATCTGCAATTGGCCATGGTTGGAGTGTGTATACACAGAAATCCACAAACTCTACATCAAGACTATTTTAGCCTAGAGAACTGGTTGTTAAGCATCAATGCTATACTAGTTTAGAAAACATTAATATTTATGCAAAGAAGCACCAAACTTAACACATGAAAGTTTTACATTTTTATTTGAAAAAAAATTCTGAAAGAAATAAAAACAAAAAATTCTGAACCATTTCACTTTTTAAAAAATCTATAAAAAATCAAAAATCTATAAGCTAAAATTAAATGAAAAGAGCTAATTTTGATAACTAAGTCAAATTTATATTTTACATATTCACTAAACAAATTCCTGAAATTATTTTTGTACTCTACTTAGAGATGGATATTTTATTAGCACCATGCTCTAACCAACTGAGCAAACCAGCTACCAGAGATGGATACTTTAGTTCTATACTTTAGTGACATATTATTTAGGCACACTGAATTTTCAGTGTTCTAAAAGTAGTAGCTAAAGCTTACTTATTCAAAATTTAATTTTTAGGACAGATCCCATCATACCACAACATCTACACCTGCCGATACACTGGTTTGATTTTTGCTCAGTCAATTCCAATGGAACTGATTATTTCATTATGATTTGTTGGTATGTACAAGAGACTCAATATGCTACCCACTCTTGACTTTTGTTAATGGTGGCTCTTTTCCCTGAAGATGGTCACTTCAAACAAATTTCAAGTAAACTTCAAACTGAAAATGTCTTTCAAAATCAAATAAGAAATCTTAGTATTGGACCTCCCCTGGTGGCGCAGTGGTTGAGCACTGGGCTGCGAAGCTGCCCGCAGACTCCGTAGCTCCAGTTTGATCCCCGGCAGCCAGTGAGAGTCCCAAATGGCGCACAGACCTCTCCTGCCACGCCCGCCGCTCCCCTCAGCAGTGCATTTTGTCAGTCTGCCTGTTCTGTTCCCTGCTCTGGCTCTGGTGAATTCTCTCACCCTCCCGCGCTTCTGAATGTAGCCAGTGCTTGTATAAATAAATAAATCTTAAAAAAAAAAAATCTTAGTATACAAAATTAGTAACAGTATAAAACACAACAAAGCAAAAATAGACAATTATAAACCAGAGACATACTGCAGGGGAGGAGGAGGGAGAGGGATCAGAAGGAGGGAGGGAGGAGCACAGGGGACTGAGGTGATGGTGCACGAGTGCATTGGTGAAGGAAATCCTATGGGGACTGCACCTGGGTGGGGGGAAGCAATTATTGTTTAAAAATGATCAATGATGTAAAAAATAAAAAAAAAAATTTAAAAACAAGAAATCTTAGTAGACCACCAAATTCCTGTTTTTCCTGGGGGAAAAATTTTTGTTTAAATTTGTCGTTTTTTCAGAAACACATAGTACACACATTTTTCTTCTAATCTGGAGATCACATATTTTAAATGATACATACAAATAAACTTTAAATTTATATAATTTTTTAAGCTATTTCTTCTTTATAAAACCAAAGGCCTTCTTATCCTGGCAAAATTTAAATGGATACCTACAAAATGTGTTATCAGCCCAGTGGGCAGCATGTCTATTTCAAGTGAATCCATGTGTTTGTCTCATGCTGTTAAGAACTGTCATCAAATATTAGAGCATATCCAAAAGGAAAACTCTTATTCTTGGCATGGAAGCAAGTCCTTCAATAATTTATCAAGTTTTCCAATGTTAAATATGGAAAAGCCAAAAGGCTTCTGAAATTTTGAAAGACTAAATAAAACTCAAATTTGACCTTTCTATAAATTAGAGTATACTACAGGGTAAAGTATCTTCAAATCTCAAATGTGACTTTCTACGGACTTCTCAATCAGAATGCATCACTTACTTTTCTGTGCTTCTCCATGATGACCCAACTCTGTTTTCAATGGAAGTGCTGACCCAATCCCTACGGCAGTTTGAAGTACCATAGCTGGGGGCTCTCCAAGTAAGCCTGGTTTCTGTGAAAGGAAAATACAAAAAAGGTAAGGATTTGCCCATAGCAGCAAGATATAACCTAATAAAGACGACACTGTGTAATCTATAAGAATCTGACCAACAAACAAAACACCCTGATTACAGAAAAGAAATGAAATCATTTCAAAAGAAAAAATAATTCTATGCTTACATTATTTGTATGAATATTCTCAAACTTCATTAATTGTTGTTGTGCCAGTGGTACATGAGAGAGATTCTGAAGGAATAAATTAGAAGCATTACCCATAACTGAGCTCTGTGAAAATGACAAAACATTAAGTTAGTTTAATTTTGAAAAGTTTCATGTTGTATAACCCAATTCATTTAAAATTTCTCCAGCTGATCTGAGCAGAAGAACAGCTTCTTAATATTCCACTTTCCAGCTTCAGACAATGCTAATTAATTCTTCATCATACAATGTGTAGCCATGAAGCCATGACAATTCCACCCCTTTGCCTTCTTTTCTCCTATTCACCCTTTCCTCCCACCCCTTTTCTGGCTCTGCCATTTGGTCTCCTATGTAATCATTCAACAAGTAACTGAGCACTTTATGTGCCAGAGCTGTGCTCACAGTGAGAAATACAACAATCTGACCTGTCCTCCTGGCTTTATAGCCCCCAGGACAGGAGATGTTAATCAGTTATAAAAACATGTAACTGCAAGTGGTGGTGAGTTTCTGAAGGAAAAATAGAAGGAGCTTGAGAACAAACAGCAGAGCTACTGGTTTAGAACCATAAACTCAGGAAGGATTTCCCTGAAGAACTAAACTTTCTGAACAAATTTGAAGGTTGTGAGAAAAACTTTAAGAAATTTGGGGCAATTAGATGATGCTGTACTGGGGAGTATTCTGGGCAGATAGAACAGCAGGAACAAAGACCTGAGGAGAAGAGAAAAAAAATCCCCTTGAGGACCAAAAGCAAGCCACTGATCTGCAACTGCAGTGGCCAATGAGCATGAGGCAGAGGGGGCCAGATTGGACAGGATTTCACAGCAAAATTAAGCATGCTGATTAATTTTCTAAAATAAAGGGAATACTATTGATAATACGAGCTCTCCTCTCACTGCTTTTCACACCTATTATAATTGTTTCATGTTTGTTTTCTGTATTTGGTGAAATTCCCTAAGAACAGGGACTATGAGTGTCCTGTTGGATACTCAATAAAACATGTTGAGTAAATGAATGAATAAAGCCCCTTTAATGTGCAAGGTCCTACATCAGATTCTAAGTATGAAAAATAAAGGACAGGCCTTCTTAAATAACTGGGTTTAGGACACTGCTTCAACGTTCTTTAATCATCTAGTATGGATCAATATAAGGCTTGATTTGCAAGTAGCAGTCTATATACAACATTTTTAAACAGTACCTGAAATCAATGAATAATGCTTATCACTAATACTATGGTTATTTACATATGCAATCACGTCTTAAAATACTACTGAAAAAAGGCTCATAGATTACCTTTATAATATTAATTAAATTTTAAGAATTAAGATTTATTGTTTTTTTTTTCTATAAATACTTGGAGTGACAGCCACATATAAGACGACTTGTTTTGTACTGATTTACTCCTAGAAAAATATACACAAAACATACCTCCTTAATACCTAACAAATATGAATAATATATAACTATGATGCTTTGATTAGCTTAACATGATGTGATATACTCATTAAGTTCTGTTTCTATGTAGCTATACTTATTGCTAAGGAATTTAAAATGAAATACTCATTTAATTTCTTGAGAACTTTAACTGTTAAAAACAAACAAAATATTCACTCCAAATTTTTGCTGCTTCAGTACTCAAGGCTATTCATATACCTGATGTGCTTTATTCAAATGTAAAAATGCAGGGGAGATGGATGGATTCATCAGATGTGGCAAGCTGTGAGGTGTTCCAAGAACTGCTTTGAGAAAATAAAAGTAAAATTTAACTTTATTATATATGGAATTTAAAAATAAAAGTAACAAGCTCCAAAAAATAAATATTCCTTTAAACTTTTAACAGTCATTGGAAGCTCAATAATATAGTGACCTTGTCATTGTACAAAAAGTGACAATGACCTTGTTATTGTACAAAAAGTGATTTAACCCTGGAATTTGATTTAAAATTTCAACACCTTCTGTCATAACAGACAAACCTAGTTTTTTCCTTCTCTAGTGCTTAATGCAACAAAACTGTATTTTATCTTTTATTGAGTATAGTACTAATTGAACCCATGTTACTTGCTCAGTTTTTTTGTTTTTTTTTTTTAAGGTGTTTGGAGTATTTGGACTGTGGCGGGGGGAAGTTGGAAAAGATACCACCCCATCCTTGAAAAAAGTATAATCCAATTGAGAAGAGAACATAAATTATTTACATATTAAAAACAAAACAACAAAACTGAACAAATAAATTTGAAGAGGGATCTAGAAATCACACCCTATGACACATTATGGAATGTCAATTATACAACTTAAGTCTCCAAAGTGGCATAACAGGTTAACAAAAAGAAAATGTTAGAACAATTACTGTTACTCATCTTTACTTTCATATTAAAAAATAAAGCTTCATTAGCTGTGTGGAGGACCCTCAAAACAAAAAATGGATCTACCTTATTATGGTCCAGCAATTCCACTAGGAATCTACTCAAAGGACACAAAAACAGTAACTCCAAAGGAAACCTGCACTCCTGTTTATTGCAGCACTATTTACAATAGCTAAGATATGGAAACAACCCAAATGCTCCCAAACAGATCAAGATGTGGTATACAAAATGGAATACTACTCAGCAATCAAAAAAGATAAATTCATGCCATTTGCAGCAACATGGTTGGACCTGGAAGGGATTATGCTAAGCCAAATAAGTTAGAAAAAGAAAATATGGAGTTACTTAATTTATAGGTGGAACATAGGAAAACCAAACAAAGGGTCAGGAAAAAGACAAAACTTGCAGGCAAATCATACAACTGAGGCAAACAGCAAAGGAAGGGGAAAGAAGAACACAGGGACTGTAGTGATGATTCATAGATGCTATAGTGGTGGGAGAACTAAGGGTACTAAGCTGACGAGGAGAACAATGATATAAAGAAAATAAATTTAGGGCCTCCCTGGTGGCTCAGGGGGTTAAGACGCAACCTATGAAGCTATCTGCAGCCACTGCAGCATGCGTTCGATCCCTGGCCAGGGAGATACCCATATGGCACGGCAGATCTCTCCTGTTTCGCCCACTGCTCCCCTCAGCAGTGTATTTCAGTAGATGTGCCTGTTCTGTTCCCAACTGTGTCTCTGGTGAATCTTCTCACCCCCGCAACACCTCTGGCCTGTACCCCAGTTCTTGTATGCATAAATAAATCTTTAAAAAATGAAAAGAAAATAAATTTTAAAAAAAGTCAAAAATATCTGTATAACAGCAAGAAACAAATAGAATTTTTTAATTTAATATAAATTATTCAGAAAAAATTAACAAAAGAGAAACAAGATCTCTAAACTGAAAACCACAAAGCATTACCAAGAGAAATTGAAGAATGAAATACATGGAAAGCTATATGATGTTCATGGTTTGAAAACTGGAGAATTGTAAATTTGCCAATAGACCCTAAAGTGACATTGAATTTGATGCAATCTCAATAAAAAAATCTTGCCAAATTTAAAAATAAAGCTTTATCATCTCTTAATACATGAATTGACAAGGATATATTTATACAACCAACATACAGCTGACAGATACATTATTTATATTTGGGCTCTGCTCAAAATTTATTTTATGATAGGGTTGTATAGTCAAAAAATAAATAAAAGAGGACATGGCTGATATGGAGACTAGAAGATGGGGAAAAACCAAAGATGGAGGTGTCATGATGGTTGTCTGAACAAATTACAAGACTTTTCTCATCAGAGGAATGAATGGATTTTCTGTTTCTTCAGAGGAAGAAAACTAGTATTAAGTGGCTAAAAGTTAGAGGGATTACTATTCCGATGAATAAAGAAAAACTTTCTAGTAATTAAATGTGTCAAATCAGATAACAGGTTTCCTTGGCAAATGATGAGCTTCTTACACTTTAAGTAGGCAAGACACAAAATGGGTATCTTTACACCTTTAAAATCACAGCACACTGTAGAACTGTGAAATTGCACCTGATTGCATAAGCTGAGCCAAAAAACCTATGAACTTGCTCTGACACACAAATAATTGAATAATTATATTAATGACTTTTGTTGTATAAAATAATTGACACTTTGAGTTATATCCTGACCTTCAAGAAGAGAAGGGGGACTGGCGGTTGAGTTCAATAACTTGGCTAATCACACCTACAAAACCAACTCTCTAATAAAAAACTCTGGATACTGAGTTTAGTTCAGTAGAGATCCCTGCTCATGGACACATTGATGGGCTAGTAAGGGGGAGAGCATGAATGCCCTGCCTTCAGGCTCTCCTAGCACCAAGCATCACTTCTCTGGCTGTTCCTAAGTTGTATCCTTGTTAGTGAAATTGTAATCCTAAGTATAGTGTGTTCCTAACTTCTCTGTGTCATTCTAGCATATTATCAAACCTGAGGGGGTCACAGGAGCCCTCCAATTGCAGTCAGTGGGCCATAAATATAGGTGGCCAGGGGGTCCCTTTAACTTACAGCTGATGTATGAAGTAGAAGCAGACATCTTAGAGAGTAAACCCTTTTCTCGTGGGGGTCTACGCTAACTTCCAGTAGTTTTTGGAAGTGAACTGCAGTACACAAGTTGGTGAGACCAGCTGGGCTTAGAACAGAATAAATACATTTACTCTGAACATTTTGCTGTAAACCTTAGTGTGGATAATAGCATCGGTCCCTAGGTGCCCCTTGGCCATGGACTAGCAATAATTCTATAATATATATTCTGTGCATCTAGAGTTGTACATTTCAGTTATACATTGTCTATACATTTATGGGAGGACATGTAATGTATACCAAAGATTTTCATAGTGCTCAGAAGGTAAGTTTGTTGTATTTTCTAAAAAGTGAAACAATTGTACAACAAAAAGATAAGAGCAAGAGGAAACAGACATTTAGCACTTTTTAACAACCTAATTCTGGAAACAATATTACATGGCAAAGTATCGTATCTTTTGCTGATAGCAATGACATTGGTTAATTATTTTCTGGTCCATAAATTCACGTCAACTTGGAGGTAAAGGTTTAATATTTAACATTTATTAATGGTAAAAAAATTAGGAAACATCAGCTATTGTTATCTACCAATAACGGTTACAGTATATTATCAGCTCAAGTCATTAATTAAAGTTCACTGACAAATAGAAATTTAATATATTTAGACTAATTTAAAAGTGGTTTTTCATGTAAAACAGCACAGTTAACTGCATGCCAACAATCTCCACTGAATCAGCATACATGGTGCTTACCTGGTTTAATAGCTCGCCCACAAAGCTGGGGTTGTAAAAGAACTTGTAACATGGCAGGGTTGTTTAAACTTTTCATAATTTGCACTGGATTTGGCTCTGGTAGTAGGCCCTTTTGACTACTGTGCATCTTTAATGAATACAGAAATAGGAAACATTAGAAGAAGGATAAATACAAAAGATAAAATTTTAATTCTTACTTGATAAGGATATATTTTACGATAAACACAAGTTGCTTTATAGTGTACATTTACTGGTTACATTTCACAAATCTTCTAACTGTAGTTTTAAGATATTCTACCAATAGCCTACACTGAAACCCTCACAGACTGTCTCAGTTAAATACAAATTGGCTTTAAAAGGACTAAAATTTAGATAAATTTTCATAAAAAGATGACAAGGGTATCTGAACTTATTAACAGAGAAAGAACTTGTTACCACAATGTGTGACAAAAGACCCTTACTGCAATATCAATCTAATGTGTAATCATGGGTTGCCTTAAGAATAAAAATTTTCTTACAATAAAGATCTTTATTTCATTAACATAATCCTCAGAGACAAACATGAACTGGCTTTACAAACATGTAATTGGGTAGTTTCCTAAAAATAAAATGTTTTCAGTTTTGAAAAATAGTCTAATATCTCATTGTAATTTTCATTTGCATTTCCCTGATTACAAGTGATGTTGAACATTTTTTCATATGCCTGTTGGCCATTTGCATTTCCTCTTTGGAGAAATTTCTTTTTACCTCTTCTACCCACTTTTTGACTGGATTATTTTTTTTTGGTTTTTGTTGAGTCTCATCAGCTCTTTGTAGATTTTTGTGATCAGTCCTTTATCATTAGTGTTGTGTGCAAAAATTTTATCCCGGTCAGTGGGGTTTCTCTTTGTTTTGGTTACTGTCTGTTTTGCTGTGCAGACGCTCTTTAATTTGATGTAGTCCAGCTGTTTATCTTTGCCTTCACTATCACTGCTTTGGGTGATGTGTTTGTAAAGACATCTTTGAGGTGCATGGCACGTAGTGTTTTGCCTATATTTCCTTCTATATATGTTATGGTTTCAGATCTTATGTCTAGTTCATTAATCCATTTTGAGTTGGTTTTTATGCATGGTGTGAGGTAGTAGTCAAGTTTCATTCTTTTGCATGTAGTGATTCAGTTTTCCCAGCACCCTTTATTGAACAAACTTTCTTTGCTCCAGTGCATATTCTTTGCTCCTTACACCAGTGAGAATGGCACATATTAAAAAAACTAGCAAGGCCTCCCCTGATGGCGCAGCGGTTGAGCGCTGGGCTATGAAGCTGCCCACAGCCTCTGCAGTGCCAGTTCGATCCCCGGCCACCGGCGAGGGTCCCACATGGCGTGACAGACCTCTCCTGCCACACCCGCTGCTCCCCTCTGCAGTGTTTCATCAGTCTGCCTGTTCTGTTTCCTGCTCTGGCTCTGGTGAATTCTCTCACCCTCCCGTGCTTCTAACTGTACCCAGTGCTTGTATAAATAAATAAATAAATCTTTTAAAAAAATTTAAAAATAAAAAAAACTAGCAACAACAAATGTTGGCGAGGATGTGGAGAAAAAGGAACTCTCCTGCACTGCTGGTGGGAATGCAAACTAGTCCAACCACTATGGAAAGCTGTATGGAGATTCCTCAACCTACTAAAGATAGAGCTTCCATAGGATCCAGCAATCCCACTCCTAGGTATTTACCCAAAGGACACAGAAACATTAATTCAAAAGGGCACCTGCACCCATATGTTTATTGCAGCACTATTTACAATAGCTAAGCTTTGGAAACAACCCAAATGCTCAAAAATAGATGACTGGATCAAGAAGATGTGGTATATATACACCATGGAATATTACGCAGCAATCAAAAAAGATAAACTCATGCAATTTGCAGCAACATGGATGGAGCTGGAAGGGATCATGCTCAGCGAAATAAGCCAGAAAGAAAAAGAAAAATACCAGATGGTCTCACTCATAGCAGGAATCTAGAAAACCTAAATAAGGGACCAGGAAAAAGAATAACAATAATAAAGAAAAAATCAAAATCAACAAGCAACTATAAACCAGAGACAGCCCATGGGGGGCAGGGAGAGGAAGGACTGGGGTCAAAATAAGGGGGGTACATTTGTATGGGGAATATAAAAAAAATATTAAAAGTAAAAAAAATTTAATAAATAGCCGAATAGATGAGAAGATCAATCTGATATAAAAGGAAAGCTGTAAATTTCTACCCATGAGAACATGGAGAACAAGGACAAGTGTTTCCCTCTCCCAATGCAGACACAATGAAATTGAGATGGAAAAGGTGATAGACCTGAGAACGTAACATAAAACCTGTGAGAAAACTGTAGTGGTTCCCAGTGTGAAGGTAAACAGTATCAGAGAGCATGAGATGGCCTGAATCCACAGACAGGAAAGTCTGGGGAATGACTGTTCAGTGGTGGACTGATGTGGCCGTGTCCACAGCTGCCTTGGCCAACACAAGGCGGGGAAAGAGCAATGACAGCCAATAGCAGGATGCCATGCAAACTCAGAAGCCCTGGTCACCATGAAACACTAGATGTGCGTGCTGGAAACTTCCTTCCCATCTCCCCCAACCTTCTTCAGTTCCTTCCTCCCATGGTGCATGATAAAAGAGCTATAAATGAGGAAGGCAGAACTTGCAAAAGAGCAAGGTGGGAGTGGAGAGGAAGAGAGGAGGTCAAAGATGCAGAGTTGCCTGGCTGGCTGGGCAGAGTGGTGATCAAGGTCAGATGGTAAGAGCAGAAGTGCTCAGCCCTAGGTCCCTGCCTGCCTTCTCTCCACTCCAGCCAAGACCAGGCTGTAGCTGGTGTCCCCCCTACCCCAAAACACACACACACACACACACACACACACACAAAGAAGCTGATAGGAGCCTCCCCCACCCACCCAGGGAAGTGTGCATTCACAGACACTTGGACAATGTAGTCACTAAAATATAAAGGTAACAAACTGAATCACCTCTAAGAGACAAAGCAGAATTACTAGACAGGAAATAAGAATATTAAATAAACCTAAAACACATCCTGAAAAGGATGACAGATTTTTACTGGTAACATGAAGCAAGGACAAGCAGTTATAAAGAATAACTGAAATACTGGGTATGAAAAACATAAATACTGAAAAGAAGGAACAGCAGCCCTTACTAAACTAATACTTGGCACTGTTCTAAGCACTTTACATGGATTCGATCACTTAATCCCCTAAAACAACTCTGCAGAGTTGGAATTATTATATCCATTGAAGAGATGCAAAGTTACTGTTAACCTCTACCCTATGCCTTAACAAACAGGTAAATAGTAAATGCAACTGAAAATCAAAAGAGTGATCTGAAAGGTCACATCAAATAGTGTTTCCAGAACACATCAGCAAAGGATAGAGAAATGGAAGTGCAAACAAAAGATAGTAGTAGTAAAGCAATGGAAAAGTCAGAAATAGGATTGTCAACGTCTGTATAATAGGAGTCTATGAAGAAGGACAAAAAGGAAAGTTTTGAAGAATAGCTGAGAATTTACCAGTCTTCCCAATATTAAAGAGAAATTAGAGACCACAGAATGAAAGGATTCAGTGTCACCAACATTAAGTATGAAGAAAAAACAGACCTGTTTATATTTTTCGGCATGAAATTTAAGAACATCAAAGCCAAAGAAAAAATGCTAAAGCTTCCAGTGAGAAAGACCATTATCTCCATAGGATCAAGAAGCAGATTAATATCATTGTCCCTGAGCAGCAACAATGAATTAAAAAAGACAATGAGTTAATATTTTCAAAGTGTGCAGGAAAAAGTATTGAACTAGATTTTCATATTCAGCTAAATTATTAGGTAAAGATATTCTAGATATAAAAATATCCCAGTCATACAAATTCTCCAGAGGTTTTATCACATGAGTAATACTCTGAATATGAGAAAAGAAATGCAATAAGATATTACTTATTATGTGGATGCTGAAGTACGTAATATGGTTAATTTTAATCTTCCATACATAGTCCAGGACCATAAAAAAGCAACTATTTAAGGCAATCCTAAAGGAAAATGTGGCTGCCAATAAGGTGGCAGGTGGGACAGGAAGGAGGAAGCAAGGAGGAGGTCAGAATAAATAAAGTGAGAAGAAAGAGAAACTGATAAAACTAGGGGTGTGGAAAGGTGTGGGCAATTACTAGTGGGATAAAGTAGTACATATCACTCTCAATCAGAAGAACAAAACTTACTTACCCACTAATAGATGGGAGTTGAAAATAAAGAGGAAAACATACTTAATAAAAAAATAACAAAACATGGTGGCCTCCCTGGTGGCACAGGAGGTTGAGTACAGTGCTGTGAAGCTGTCCGCAGCCTCTGCAGCACCAGTACGATCCCGTCCGGTTGGTGAGAATCCCACATGGCGCAGCAGACCTCTCCTGTCTCACCCGCTGCTCCCCTCAGTAGTGTATTTCAGTCAGTCTGCCTGTTCTGTTCCCCACTCTGTGTTGGGTGAATCCTCTCACCCTCCCACACATCTGGCCTTTACCCTGGTTCTTGTATAAAAATAAATAAATCTTAAAAAAAAAAAAAACCCATGGTCAGTGTAGGTGAGGATGTAGAGAAAAGGGAATCCTGGTGCATGGCTGGTGGGAATGTGACCTGGTGCAGCCTCCATGGAAAACAGAATAAACAGAAGAACAGAACTACCAGGTGGTCCACCAACTCCACTTCTGACTGTTTGTCCAAAGAAAACAAAAACACTAACTTGAAAAAATATAAGCACCCCCGCACTCACTGCAACATTATTCACGATAGCCAAGACATAGAAATAACAAGTGTCCATCAGTGTTGGAATGGATAATGTGGTGATCATGAAAACAAAGACCGACTGCCATCTGCAACAACATGGATAGACCCTGGTGGCATTATGTAAGCAAGTCATTCTGGTGGAGAAAGACAAATACTGTATTTTACCCACATGTGGAATCTAAAAAAAAAAAAATTGTACATACAGAGGAAAGATTGGTGGGGGTATAAGGGTGGCCAAAATGGGTGAAAGTGGTCAAAGGGTACAAAATACCAGTTATAAAATAATTTTACTACTTTTCCAGTTGTAACTCCTAAGATTGTACTGTACAGCTAACAATAATGTATATTTGACAGCTGCTGAGAATAGATTTTAAAAGCTCTCATCACAAGGAAAAACACTGTAACCATGTGTGGTGATAGAGATAACTGCATTTATTGTGATCATTTTACAACTAGGCATATATATTTGAGTTATTGCTACATATCTGAAATTAATATGCCAATTATATCTCAATTTTTAAATATATTCCCCCCAAACTATGAAAAGAGATGGTAAAAAGATCCTAGCAGAGTAATAATCAGTGCCTCTATAAGTAGTCTAAATGCACCTATTAAAGACGAATACTAGAAAAAAAAAATTTTTAAGGTAAAATATATTAGCTGTAAGACATACCTAAAACAAAATGTATAGAAAGGCTGATGATAAATCAGCCAATATAAACTGATGGCAAATATAAACTAAAAGGAAGCTGAAGTACCAATGTCAACAAAAATTTTTTTCTCAAGGAGAAAAAGACATATACTGTTAAAATGACCAATGTGGCTATAATAAATGTGTATCTAGTAATTAATGATATTTTGCGTGTGTGTGCATTAAAGATCTGAGTGTGAATTAGTAAGCTCAAACTAGTATTTATACACACATAAATGTACATACATACAACTTCAGAACCCACAGACATGGAGCTTGGGTGGTTTCTGAGCACACATGGCACATTCACAGAAATCAACCATGCAGCAAGCCACAAAAGAAGTCATGTATCCCTCCAACCACATCAGCATTAGAGACCGTAACATCCTATCTGTTCCTCCTTCCCCTAATCTCCTCTCTCTCCAGTTCATCTTCAAGCCACTTTCCAGACTAACTTCTTGATGGCTAATCCGTGCCACTACTTTGTTTACATACTTGATAAATTTTCCACTGCTTATCATATTTAAACTAGATGAGTGTTCTTGTTCCTTCCCGCTTTGGCATCAACCTACCATTTCACCATTTATCTCTTTATACACTCAGTCCTCCTAGAGCACTTACCACTCTTCCTGCATGCAAGTTCACCTCCTATTACTGCTGGAAAAGTTATCTTCCAGCTGGAGTGTGATCAATCACTCTCCCTCCTTAGGGCTGCCAGATTTAGTAAATAAAAATACAGGATACCCAGTTAAATGTGGGTTTCAGATAAACAATGAATAATTTTTATATAAATATGTCTCATGCAAAATACGTATTTCTCTGGCAATCCCATCCTCCGTCAATGCATTTCAAAATCATACTTTAAGACACACTCAAATTCCACCTCTGTCATGAAGTCTTCCCTGATGCCTTGGTATGGACTGTTTCCTTCATTCAATCAACAAACATTTACTATGCTAAGTGCTAGGAATAAAAACCATGAAGAACAGTCTTTACTGCCGGGAACTTCTAGACTAAGGAAGCAGAGATGGGAATAAGTTAGACAATTACAATGAGGAAGTAGGTACAGTATGCATATAAGCAAAATATGATAGACATCTTTACTTTATGGATACTTAGGAATTTTGAAAAAGAGGCATGTTACATTCAAAATAGGACCTAAAACATTTATGGAAGGAAATTCCTTACAAAAATTTTCTTAAGGTGAATACATTTTACTACACACAATTTCTGTTCTTCTGTATTGTCTCACTGACTTCACAGAGGTTCCACTGAGCCAATTTTTAAAGCAAGAAGAATGTGTTTGTGCCCTGAAAGTATAATGAAGGTCTAATCAATCACCAATGTGTCTGTCTAGATTAAAATTAAATTAAAATGTACTAGAATTATTCTATATCCTTAAAAAAGAACAACAAACTTACCACACGCTGAGCTGCGATCAGTGCTGCCAATGTGCTTCGCCCTGGCGCTCCCGGGGCACAGAAGGAGACCTGGACTTGGCTGCCCTGTATGGTCATGCCATGTGCAGCTTGACGAACCTCCTCGGCGTGCTCGGCAGAGTTGTACTCGACCACTGCAAAGCCACCAACGTAACTGCCTTCATCCTGTGCAAGCTGACATAATACATTTTATTAAAAGGGGATTTCTGATTTCAAAGTGTAAGTATTCCATTGTGTATACAGGCCACATCTTCTTGATCCAGTCATCTATTTTTGGGCATTTGGGTTGTTTCCAGGATTTACCTATTATAAATAGTGCTGCACTAAACATAGGGGTACAGGTGTTCTTTTGAATCAATGTTTTTGTGTCTTTTGGGTAGATCCCTAGGAGTGGAATTGCTGGGTCACATGGTAGCTCCATTTTTAGCAATCAAAAAAGATAAACTAATGGATTGACAGCAACATGGATGGAGCAAGGAGAATTATGCTCAGTGAAGTCAGAAGGAAAAAGAAAAACATTGGATGGTCTCACTTATAGGAGGAATATAAGGTAACCAAATAAGACATCAGGGGAAAAATAATAACAATACAAAACACAACAAAACAAAAACAGACAATTATAAACCAGAGACATCCTGCAGAGGAGGAGGAGGGAGAGGAATCAGAGGGAGGGAGGGAGGAGCACAGGGTGCACTGGTGAAGGAAACTCTACACCTGAGGGGGTAGGAGGAAGCAAATATTGTTTAAAAATGAACAATGACGTGAAAAATATATAAAAAAATTAAAAAATTTTACAAACTAAAAAAAATAATTATTTATCATTTTGAAAATCAAGAACAAATGTATCAAAGTATGATACTGGTGAAAATGTGCTCTTTCTCTCTGAGGAGAAGAAAAAAGCTGCTAGTTGCTTGGATTCAGTCATTCCTCAAGACAGGAAGATAAACAAGATTCTGCCCAGTTTCTTTGCAACGATTTGAGTTTTAATTTATTTTAAAAATTAAAACCCAAATGTTAATAACCCTATATGTTAAGATATACATGTGCACATACACCTGGTAATTTGTAAGAAAATATTGGGACATGATAATTAAAACTTTTTAAAAAAAATTCCACAGATACATGGACAATGAACAAAACATACTGAACAACTTTTGCCCATATAAATAAAATATGGGCAAAATAAAATTTGTATTAACAAGAAAAGAAAGGTAGCGAGAACTATATTCAACTTCCATTTAAGTATTTTAGGCAGATCCCAGAGATCTGTTTAAGTATATCAAAGCAAAACTTATTTAAGAAATCTGTGCCACAGGTTTGTTAAAATGCCACACACAAACACACAACCTTTATTTCTGAACGTGCCCTAAATAATCTCCTGCAATTTAGAACTCCACTGATTTCCAATTACCCACCTGCAGAGTGTAAAGAAAGATACTAAAGTTCTGGATCTGTAAAGATCGGTACAAAGAGCAAAAATAAGAACAAAATAAGACTATAAAGTAGCTTCTAAGTTTTGAACATTTCTGAATTACCTTAAACATATTCATACTATAAAGAGACAGATGTGATAAAATTCAGCTTGGGATGTCTTTAAGACATATCTAAAAGACTTCCACTTGGATTTAACATCTTGTAACTTATTATTACAAATCATTTCATAGTCCCCCTGAGCTCCTTTTATTTTTGAACCACGACTCTCACCTGCATTTAAGAGGCACTCATCATCGTAAAGCTGTTTTTTTTTTTTTTTTTTTTTTAACAGAGGCATGTTTTTCTTTATTTATTTGTTTGCTTGTTTGTTTGCTTTGTTTATACATGCACTGGGTACAGTCAGAAGCGCGGGAGGGTGAGAGAATTCACCAGAGCCAGAGCCGGGAGCAGAGCAGGCAGAAGGACCGAAGTACACTGCTGAGGGGAGCAGCGGGCGGCAGGAGAGGTCTGCGCGCCATGTGGGACCCTTCTCCGGTGGCCGGGGAGCAGCCGGGGATTGAACCGGCACCGCAGAGGCCGCGGGCAGCTTCGCAACCCAGCGCTCCACCGCTGCGCCACCGGGGAGGCCCCATCGTAAAGCTGTTTTATTATCTTTTGAAAACTTTTTAAAACATTTCTATTATACCTAGTTCATTATGATAACTTTCGTTGCTCTATACTATAATTCCTTTTTAATAAGGCTTTCACATGACAAAATCATTTTAGGTCGACTTAGAGAAAAACATTTCAGTGTGAAACTTGCTCAAATATGTAATGGTCTGACTTGTGATCTAGTCAATTTTCCATCATTTTAAAATATTTTAACAGAGCTAAATGGTCACTCACAAATATTGTAACAAAGTTCTTTTCTACCAGATGGAAAGCTGGACTAGATAACCTCTCAAGTCCCCTCCAACTCTGAGATTCACAATTCAAATAAAATTTGTGATAAATGGCTTCTCTTCTGACATTTGCTTCTAAGGCCTCAACTCTAGATACAAAGAAATCTGTATGGCCACAGATGCTGCAATTCTTATTATTCAAAAATAGTATACTCGTAATTTTCAGTAACAGCAAATATCTGGTAAATGAACTGTCACAAAATTTTCTGATTATAAAGTTATTGAATGGTTTCTTTGGTGTTTATTACATTGAGATTGGAAAGGCAGAAATGAAAGAAAAAGTAAGGTGGCAGCAATGATCTTAAATATATATGAATAATTACACTTCAAATTTTTAAGGTGATAGTAGAGACTCAACAAATGGATGATTAAAGAGGAGCATGGGACAAGTGGAGAGAAAAGGAAGAAATCAAGGGCAAGTTTATTGTTTGCTATTTAAAACCTGTAACAGAGCTATAAATAATATATATTTTTGTCTATTTAAAGTATAATTTTACTATGATGAAGTACTTGAAAATTCTTAGCAGTACTGTCAGTAGCTTTCAGTACCTTCTCTATATGTTTCACCGTGTCCCCAGTAAGAGAGAATTATACATTCTTTTAAAATTTCAAGATACCTTTCTATCTTCTATTATGTCCCTCTTCACACAGGATTTATAATTAACTGTCAGTCTCATTTGCAAAACTGTCAGGTATTGAGAGTATCTTTCTGTTTTCTACATTTCTGACATTTAGCAATTTCAGTGTCCAGCACAAAGAAGGTGAAGATAAAACTTGGATAATGAATAAATCAATGGATAAATGGTTCATTGAATGGATGGAATAAACAAGTGATGGATTTGCTAAGACACACTTAACTATGTAACATTACAGTCTAGCCTACCAACAAAAGAAACTGAACATTTACCATGCCATTAGTCTTCATTACAGACTGAAGCAGATATAATTAGATTATGCACTGTGATGTTCACAAAGGTATAATATGTGAGTGCATGTAGAAGAGATACATATACAGATATTTTTAGACATTCAAATGATATCTTAAAAATACATACCTGGCAAAACACAGGCTTATGGATACTGGAAAAAAACTGCAACAGCTCCTCTGAATCCCTGTAGTCACTAGGAAGTTTATCTATACAAAGGCACTTAGAATGAATGAGCTCTGCAGCCAACAGATTAACATCCATCCATTGCGCAAAGAGAGCTGATGCTCCCAACTGTTTACCCAATAGCTCCAATCTAGCCTTTGCAGCAAAGTCCTTTTTCATGTATTCTACAAATCCATAGCCTTTGGAATGGCCAGTAACCTCACTATAGACCAGGAAACATCGCTCGATATTTCCATAAGCACGAACAAGTTCTTCAAACTCTTCTAATGTGAAAGAAGTAGGCAAATTGGTAATACACAGCAAAGCATCTGTTGGCTGGAGTTGGACTATTAAGTCTTTTCCACGAAAAGAATATTGATGAAACATTTGAATTGCATTCTGGGCTTGTTCCCCATTCAATAAGGTAACAAAAGCTGGAAGACAAAAAAATGATTTAAGAATTTTCTAGGTTAGTGCTTTCAAACTTTGACTATGACTATGTAAGAAATACATTTGATTTTGATTGATTTTGATTAACAAAAACTATGAACCAGAGACACTCTATGGGGGGTAGGGGGCGGGAGGGGAGGGATTGGGGTCAAAATAAGGGGGTTGCAATTGTATGGGGAATATAAAAATAAAATTTATTATAAAAAAATAGAATGCATTTTGACCAAATTAGGTGAGGTAATTGTATAGAGTAATAAAATATAGTCAAATAAAGTAATAATTAAAAGTAAAAAAAAAAAAGAAATACATTTGAAGTCAGTGACTTGGTATACATATGTGTGTGTAAGATGTTTTATGACAGAACGTAGATAACATAATGCAGCAAATTTAAACATTCAGTTATTAGGGGAAAGAAGTCACTGATTCTCTTCTATAGTGCTTCCCATTTCTTTCCAAGGTCATAAATTTAAAAAAAAAAATCTGAGAGTTGGTGTCTGTGTACATAGTGGTTCTATCTCCCTCCGTACTTTTCTCGATTTTTTTTATCATCTCAAAAAGATGTTTCGAGACATTTACGCAGCACATTTTCACAAAGAAAATAATCTAGTTTGGCCCTCTGATATCACAGATATAAAACTAATATGCAGCAAAAGTAAGCAATTTTCCCAGCTAAAAGTCGAATCACACAGCAATATTGATTATTAAAATGGAAGAATACCAAGACTACCAGGAACATTCATTATAACACATTAGAACATTCATTATAGCTATAAAAAATAAGGCTCCAGTAACACTCTATTAATTTATTTGATTAAAATTTAAGATACTAACATTACTTCAGAAAATAAATTATATGAGTAAATTTTCTATGATTTAATGCTTAAGCATTTCAGAGATTTGCTTAAGCATGAATATACTAAGCTTTGTTGTTTTATGATATGTAGAATCAAAATGAAATCAGATGCTAAGAACTAAAATCATACCTGTTCGTTTATTTCTGTCCACATAACAATACTTTAACTCATAGTCCTGTAATAAATCATGAACTTCCTGAAAGAGACAAAACATGAATTCAGTAAACATATAAATGCAGTTAGTAAATACTCCAGCTACATTAGTCTATCACCACTACCACCATACTCCACATGAAATATTTTCTATGGATCCCCATTACTTATTTAAATTAAAAGCATTCAAATCCCACAAGATATGGTAGCCAGGGACCTGTCCAAATACATCTCCCAATACAATAATCTACATATAGGAGTAGAGCCCATGTTCCTGTCCTGTCAAATTAATATACGTTCTCATGAGTGTGGCACATACAGTCCTTACTCTGCTCACACCAACACCTCGACCCAGCATGGGGCAGACACGCCATGAAAGCACCCAGACTTCAGAGATCACATGATCCTTTGAAATCCCAGCTCAAATCTTCTCCCATCTAGTGTTTTCTAAATCTTTTCCACAAGACATGACCTTTCCCACCTCCATGCTATCAATGTTAATATTTTTATGCCTCTTACAGAAGCAATAAACTTATTTCTCTTTGTCTGCTATATATTTTATTTGATTGCACTGTAAATGCCTGCATTACCCGCATGCAGAATAAATGTACGTTGCACAACTAACTTAAGAGATCCCAGGGTACGAAAACAAGTAACCACCACCAAGGTATGACATGCAGTTCGGTTTATTTCTCCTTAGCTCCCCAATATGTCTAAACTGACTATCTGGTTTGTTCTCCTATAAGTAACCCAGTTTGAACTTTTTTCTTCAGCTCTCATAACTTCCATCCACCTGGAGGCCTGAAAGAGCATATTTTCTCTCTATCCCCTTAATTCTGTCTGTTAACTATGTTTCAGTGCAGGAACTGAACTTCATGTATTTCGTGAACTGCTCTGCATATGCTATGCATTCAAATATACATTACAGTGACTATAACAACTGCTTTGTCAACTTGAAATTTACTCATAATCCCCCAGTGTAGTTATTATACTTTTTAAAGGATATGAGCTATGAAATAGGTGACATTCTGACCCCAGAATGGAGACTGAGAGTCAACCTGTTTTAAGCTGCAGATGAATGAACTGAACACACACAAGCGTTAGCATGTTAAGCTCACTATCTAAACTGATTAATTCAATAATAATTTTCATTGTCATTATAGTTAACATTTACTTAGCTTTTACTTAGTACAGGGGCACTGAATTCACCCATTTTATTGGAAATCAGGAAAGAGCAAAATCAAGTAAGTTGCCAAAGTCATATACCTGGTAATTTGCTGAGTGGATACTCACCAACTGGTCTGGTTCCAAGGGCCATACTGTTAACCTCTATGCCACACTGCCAACAATAGTTTCAAGGACACTGCCAACAATAGTTACAAAAATGCCACTAGTGCCACCTAAGTGAGCATGTGGAAATCGAAAATAAGGTGACAGTCCAAAGTTGAGAAATATTTTCCCTCCCTACCCAGTGCAAGGGTTGGGGGGAGAGGAGAGTAATATAATAGGAAAACTATAAATACGTAATGGTCAGTGAAAAAAAGATTATCACCTAAAGAATGGTTGATGATTTCCTTATTAGTAAGTCAATATTGGAAATGTTTAAAATACCAATTTTGTAAAGTACTTCAGTAAAGCAATTATATAGAAATATGATCAGTAAACAACTTGGTTCACCTATTACTCTGGTAATTTTTCATCCTGAAAGTGTCAAAGTGTTCTTAGACTTAAAAAACATGTACTGCGAAATAAGCCAGAAAGAAAAAGAAAAATACCGGATGGTCTCACTCATAGCAGGAATCTAGAAACTTTAAATAAGGGACCAGGAAAATGAATAACTATAAGAAAGTAAAAATCAACAAAAAACTATGAAACAGAGACACTCTATGGGGGGTAGGGGGCGGGGAGGAGAGGGATTGGGGTCAAAATAAGGGGGTTGCAATTGTATGGGGAATATAAAAATAAAATTTATTTAAAAAAAAAAAACATGTACTGCATTCTTCACTGTAAAAATCTAAGTCCCTCAACAGTTTAACATGTACATCTTGCCACTTGGCCAATTTAATACTTTATACAGAGGGTGATGCAGTTTCGTCCGAAGGGATCCAGTGCAGGTTTCTAGTTGCACAGACAGTAATCTCTCATCTAACAGCTGCCACACGCCAGATAAAGAAAAGATGATACTGCTCTTCACATAATCAAGTATCTATAAACAAATGACATGCTATGTTTTTCACTCCACTGAGAGAATTTCCTGAGAGAGTATTCAACAATGCATTTGGCAACTTAAGACATTTTGTTGTTTTTTTTTTAAAAAAAAAAAAAACAAAAAAACCCTTATTTCTAATCATAGCTTTTCTATTATAAGCTGTGGGATACAGTCCCAACAGACTGGGAAACCTTACAAAGCTTCCTGCAAAGAAAAAACCAATTATTTTTCTCCATGTCCTGGTTGTTTTGACCCAGGCTAAAGTGGGTCACCCCTCAATTTGAGCTGGTAAGTTGGCCAAATAAAAAAAATTAAAGTCTGAAAGAATCTAAACCATTTGCCAAAATTCTACTGTGTTCTAACACACAGAACCAAAAGGACTAAAATTACATCTCCATGTACTAATCTTGTTTTATGACATTTCTATTAACTTACAAGCTAATTTTAACAAAGTAACACCTTTGTCCTCTTACTGGAAATGTTACTTACAAATTTCTTAGAGTAAGATGAATTCATCAACATTTATATTAGATTGATTTAGTAACCTATTTCCAGACCAGATTCACTATGATTCTCTGGAATTAAATGAAAAGTTGTGCATATATTAAATGTTTGCTGGGGAGAGGATCAATAGCTTTCACAATTCAAAGCAGTTATTCAATAGCACTCCTCCCAAAAGTTAAATAACCATTTGTTCCAACCAGTCTGCACCTCTTCCTAAATGAAACCCAGCCTTAGTTTTAAACTTGAATCACACTGTCTTCTAGACCCTTTGCAGATTTACTTTCATTTTAAAAAGAAATCCAACACATATTAAGTTATGAGGAGTAATACATAATAACAAGTATCCAAGCACTCACCAGGGAACATAACTAGAAAATCAGCAGCCCTGTTCCAGCCCCCCACCCCCAACTCCCACTAGCCCACATGCCACTTCTCACCATTGCTGGAGCTCTTCAGGATATGCACTCCCAAACTGTTTTATTTTACTTGTTTCTGAGCGTTATAAAAATGATATTATGCTATTTTTAATCTTTTGTGTCTTGCTTTTTATACTCAAGACTAGGCCTCTAAAATAAACTCTGTTCCATGTGGCAGAGATAGAGTGGGGAACAGAACAAGCAGATCTACTGAAATACAATGCTGAGGGGAGCAGCAGGCAAGACAGGAGAGGTCTGCTGCAGAGTGGGGAACAGAACAGGCAGATCTACTGAAATACAATGCTGAGGGGAGCAGCGGGCAAGACAGAAGAGGTCTGCTGCGCCATGTGGGTAGCTTCCTGGCTCGGGGTTGAACTTGTGCTGCACAGGCTGCCAGTAGCTTCATAGTGCTGAGACTTAACCCCTGCAACACCAGGGAGGCCCAACTTCCCAAAATTTTTAAACCACTTTGCACATCCATCAGCAGAGTATGAGTTCCAACTGTTCTACTTTCCAGCCAACACCCTTGTTTTGACATTAGCCATCCTGGTGAAAGGACAGTAATATTTATGGTCTTAATTTGCATTTTCCTAATGAGTAATGATATTAAATTCTTTTCCATTTGCTTATTGATCATTTGGATATTCTTTTTGTAAAATGCCAGTTGTAATCTTTTGCCTATTTTAAAAACTGGGTTATCTTTTTATTAACTTGTAGAATTTCTTTATAAATTCTGGATATTAGTCCTTTGTCAGTTATAGATTTTGCAAGTATCTTCACATAGCTTGTGGTTTACCTAATTACTTATTAATGTTGTTTGAATAGAAAGACATTGATCTTAATGAAATTTTCTTTTCCAGTTAATGCTTTTTGTGTCCTATTTTTTGAATTATTTACCTACCCAAGGTAATAAAAACATTACCCTATCTTTTCTTCTGGAAAAAGTCTATTCTCTTACTTATGTTTAGATTATGGTCCATCTTAAAAAAATCTGTAAGTCATGTTAGAAGGGGTAAAGGTTAAACTTTTTCTGTATGAATATCCAAGTGCCCTAGCATCATTTATTAAAAATACCATCATTTCTCTCACTGAACAATCATATTACAAATGGGTTAATTTCTGGACTCTATTCTATTTGTCTGATCCTTGTACAAATATTACAATACATCTGTTCACATCTATAATGTTAGCCCTCAAGCAATTTTCTATTTTAAGACTGTCTTGGCTACACTAGATCCTCTGCATTTCCATTTAATTTGAGGGCACTTATCAGTTTTCCTATGAAAAAAGCCTAGTAGAATTTTAACTGGGATTATGTTTAAACTACAGGACATTTTGGGATGAACTGACATCTAAAAAAATGAGTCTTCCAATCCATAAACACGGAATGCTCTTTGGCATATTTAGGTCCTCTTAAATTCATGTCAGAAATATTTATAGTCTTCACTGTAAATTTTTGTATATAATTTATTAAAGTATATTTGGTATTTCTGGTGTTACTATAAATTTATTTTCTAATATGATTGAGTCTTTTATTTTCCAAATGCTAATATACCTAATATAAATTGATTTTTAAAAATATGACTGAATTTCAATTTAATTTTCCAAATGCTACTGTAAGTGATGTTCACAGGTTGACCCTGTATTTGTCAATCTTGCTAAATTCACTTAATTCTAGTAGCCTACTTGTAGATTCTTTATTTTTCATATATACAACCATGCTGTCTGCAAATAGACAGTTTTACATTTTTCTTTTCAATCCTCATACATTATGTATTTAACCATATTTTGGTAGGTATCACTTCCATAGCAATCTTAAATAGAGGTGATTCTAATATTAACCTAATCTCAGAGGGAAAGGTTTCAATATTTCACAGTTTTTGTTTTGTTCTAGATAATCTTTGAGTTTAAGTT